AAATATTTTTTAGGTTTTATTTATTTTATTTATTATTGGTACCTATAGCAACAGTTTCTGTATACATAGTTAATAAAATAGATAACAATACGTATTGGGCTTATACAGTCGCCAATTATAGATTAATCAACTTTTCAATTAAGTGCTAAAATACTATAGAAACGATCATGTAAAAATAATTTTAGTTGACTAAAAATATATTTAAAACTACTTATGAAATCAACGTACACAAAATGAACGTACAAAATTAAAAAAAATCGAAACAACATCGAAAGAAATAAAAACACCATTTATGATGCAACACACATTAAAGCTGGCGACACACTCCGCACTCAATGACGTCAAAAAATTGCATTCAACATTTGTCATAGTGATAAGAATCGCTCATTCAGCTTGACACAAATTCGGGGCAAGCATTCTCATTTATGCCATGTCGACGGGAATTGCATCTGCGTTTATTGTGCCGTTAGGTTGGCAACATGGACGTGGCTATAGCTGTCTCGCTGGGTGTGGCGTCAGCTTTATTTATAGCCAGATACAGCGTGAGTACGTTCAGTAATTTATACGGGTATGTCAGCTTTTCTCAGAGTTTTTGGGGTAGGTAGACGTCTAGTTACGTTAGCAGAATGGTGGTCCTTACGTAAACTATCGTAAGTTTAAAATTCGTATTTGATTTTCTTGCGCAAACTCATAATTATGCTGCAAGATTGTTTATTTGTTGTGTTTGTGATTAGTATTATCATATAAGGTATAACCGTCGCGGAGAACCTAACGGGTAACCGGGGCTCCGGCTCGACGTGCAGGAGAAGGAACAGGGTGGTTTTTAGTCAGTAAGAGTCTGACACGCCCTTCCGCCTCACTCAGGCGGGAGCAGTCATTCGATGATTTTCCCCCCTTAAAAAAAGGTATAACCTGAGATGACACTTTTATTTAAACCATTTTTTTATTTTAAAAGCGCCTTATTGTGTTAATTAGTACCTCTAGTTGAAGTGAATGATTGTAGAATTTTCTCTTACCTTAAAACTGAGTGTATTTTTGTATAAATATACTTCTAAAATGCAAAGTTATAAGTAAGTACCCACTTCTAAAGCAACAAAACCTCCTTTCAATTACTTTGTTGTTTTAAATAAAAGTACCTAAACACAGTTATTTCCTGGTTTGTATGTAAACTTATAGAAACAATATTTAGTTCAAGGTCACGTCAATTCCAAGCCTTATAACACATACTGTGTGAAACAAAATTGACTTTTGATTGCCACTATAGTATGAAACTAGTAACGAGCGTAATTGGGAATGCTGTTTATATAATTACTTCGTTATTTAGGTACATTTTATTTTAAAGTTATGTTTATTACATGAAGCATTTTTCTATTTGTATGACTGCCTCGTTGGCCGGGTGGTCAAACTCCGTGTACCGCGGACATCATTAATTAGCTAGCTATTTCATTGTGTGGTTGCAGTGTGAGCGGGCTATGTAATATACTATTTATACTGCTAAATTACATGTTTTTTTGACTGCCTCGTTGGCCGTGTGGTCGCAAGTGCGACTGCCGGGCAGGGGGTCTCGGGTTCGATTCCCGGGTTGGGCAAAGTATTACTGGGTTTAAAAAAAATCTCAGTAGTAGCACGGAGTCTGGAAATGTGCCCGGTATATGGCAATAGGCTCACCCCCTATTACATGGGACTCATAACATAAATAGTGAATAGTGGGTGTTACATTGTACAGTGGTATAATCTGCTTACTCCTTCGGGGATAAAAGGCGTGATGTTATATATGTTTATGTTTTTTCTTAGTTTCATATCATTAAGTCAAATCAACCAGTTTTATCATATACTAGTATTATTCTACGTTTGCTATGGTCTGCACTATGCTGTCTATTAACATAGATATTATCCGTATAGCTATCTTGTTAGCGATAGTGTGGCGTCGGCCATATTTATTGTGTACACAAAGCGTTTATATGAGGTCACACTGTTTGTAGAGCTGAGCCAGTGAATTAGGTGTTGTCTTAATAGGGATGATGACAGGGTACGAAAAATAAAAATCTAATTAGTCCGTCAGTTAGGTAAGGAAAAAATATTAGACACGTATTTTTTATTTTGTTGTATAATAAAATGATACTTAGATATAACGAATCAAAGTTTAGGCGTGGGGGCTAAAACGTCATTTCTACGTATAAAATGTACATAGAAGTGTGTGTACATGTGTTACCGGCCTTTTGGGGATTAGGAGTTTGAGGATTGTTGAGTTTTCAGGAATTGGGGAGATTGGGGAAGGCGAGGGTAATTGGGCCTCCGGTAACCTCACTCACACGACGAAACACAACGCAAGCGTTGCTTTACGTCGGTTTTCTGTGAGACCGTGGTATCATTGTGGTTGAGCCGGCCCATTCGTGCCGAAGCATGGCTCTCCTACACATAATGTTCTGTGTATTAAGACTTTGACTGCCAATAAAAAACTGTTGAATGTAAATCCGCTAACGCCGGTCACCGGTGACCCCCATGGCGTCTAACGTGTTAAGGATTAAAAAAAATACAAAATAGTCTGGCGCGGCGTATGGAATTGTACCCGGGAAGTAATACACTCACCTTTTATAGCACGGAGTTTACAACATAGTTGGTGAAAAGAATTTCTGGGTATAATATAGCTATGGAATATACCAATCATAAACGTAAACGAATACTACTACGCATACAGAAAAGATCCTTATACCCAATCCATAAGACCGATTTTCAATTAACACCTGTGATAGTACAATTTTCCCCGCATCATTGGGCGTGCCTGCATTGTCAATGTAGTCTAAATTGTTCCTAAATTGGTGAGCCGCAAAATTAACGCCCTCAAAAGCTAACGAATATGTGATCCTCCCACCACAGTGGTCGAATTTGAACGCCAATGCTCCGAAATTACGGGAATGTCCCGATATTACGGGAATGCTCCGAAATTACGGGATTGCTACGAAATTACGGGATAATGCAGCCATCATTGAAATATCGGCGTTCGAAAAGCATGTGTAATTATTTCAGGATAACGCTTCGTTTTAATCCTAATGCATTTGTTTGAATCGCTTCAAATTCTAATACTAAAGTTAGGTAGTCGATTAGATATTTGCAATAGTTACAGGTTTTAAGACTTTGAGTATTTTAGGTAATCTAGATTGCATTTAAAGCTTCATAGTAGAACTGTTTTGGTGTTAGTTTTATTACTTTCTGGTTATTTGTGGTGCACATTGCAATAAGTGTTGGGCAGTCGTTCATGGTTTTGCTGTAGGAAAAAAGTCAGTATATACTGAGTTTTTCCTCACTTTAACTATATGTGATTACAATTTTATATAGTGCCTGTTATTTATGTCAATATATACTGCACACTACATATTATGATGGCAAGATAAAAACAGAGATAGCAGGTAAATTCAATTTTTATAACTGTGTCAAACTTCTTTAAGATGTCTTTGTCTTTTAGTTAAAAAGTCATTATGATTTTTGTCAGACATAACATAATTAACACCTTTTATCCCTGAAAGGCTAGCCAGAGGTGCACATTACTGTACTTAATGCCACAGTACAATATAACAACCACTTTTCACTATTTTATGTCATGAGTCCCATGTAATAATGGGGGTGAGCCTATTGCCATCCGAGAATGTGTCCGGTATGGACACATTCTCGGACCCCGTGCTACTACTGAGATTTTTTTTTAAAAAACCCATTAGTACTTTGACAATATAACATAAGAAGTTTAACAACACACTGTACATACGTCTTTCTCTAATGAGATCCTCCAACACCCTTTAGCAACAAACTCCATAGAAAGTGTTTTTGCGGCCATTCGGCCAGAAACGGAGCGGTGTATCAACTTCTTATCTGCCACAAACACACGAGTTACAAACAACTTCCAAGTTTGTATGGAAACTTCACTAGTGGAAGTTGAAGTTCGTAGGCGTTGGAAGTCCATGTGCACTGTTTCAAGGTTTACGTGATATTGTTTGTAGTTGCATTGTTTTGAACAAGAAAACCGGTGGCATAATGGAAATGTTCATTTAGGTTAGTTAGTGTTTTGTTTTGTAGTGTGTTGTGTTCTTTGAAGTTGTGTTGTGTGTGATAGTGTGTGTGTGTTGTGTGGTTGATTTTAACATATATTGTATTGTAAGTTACATGCATTGGAGTGATTCGATTATGTCCTTGAATTACGACCGGCTATTGTGAGGATTAGGGCAGTTTAGAGAGTACAGTTGCCTAAGATTGGAGTAAACTTGCATCCTATCCTATGATTGACTGATTGCCTGCGGACGGTGAGCATGGGAGGCTCTCCGTCCGACCGGAAACAGACCCGAGCGTACGGCGCGTCGCGTTCCGCGCGCGCATCAAAGAGCCATCAAACCACCACAGATGGGGCCCAACAGGGGCGATGCCGATTCGGAGTCGCGGAGAACCTAACGGGTAACCGGGGCCCCAGCTCGACGTGCAGTAGAAGGAACGGAGCGGTTTTTAGTCAGTAAGAGTCTGACACTCCCTCCCGCCTCACCCAGGCAGGAGCAGTCACTAGATGATTTTCCCCCCTTAAAAAAATCCTATGATTGGCTAGGAGGATCCTCCCACCAGGCGGGCTTTCTGCCCTATAGTTGTTCGTTGAGATTTTCTATCCGTGTTAATTTGCATGTAAACTTCACATGTGCGATGTAGGATTTTTGTCGTCATTCGTTTATTTGTTTGTTCATCAATACTCTATGTGCGTGAATTGTCATTTGAGATGGGCCATGTGTGACTGCAGCAGCAGCCATTTTTATGGAAAACCAACTGTGACAACTAAGTTAGCTGCACAGCGTATTGATGTTCGTGATTATGACAAATATTCAATATTAAATGGGGAAAGTCCTCGTTTATGATGAATTCATGTGATACGCAAATTATTACTTGTGCAGTTAATTGCATTTGTAGGTGATTCCAACCAGGAGCACTGACGATAATAATTTATAAGTACAAAATGAGTGTCCACATACCTGAAACCTCTCATCGTTGGTGTATGTGAACTTCCCAGAGCTCAGGATATGCCAGTCACGCTTTCTTATCCAAGATACTTGCTGCAAACAGAAAAAATATTAGTTATTATTAGGTACATCATATTTTATTGGAGTTCATAAGTACACAATATGTTTTTTTATGTTAACATTTACGTTGGTCGCAGCAAAGAGTATCTAATTCGATTCTAGGGTTCTAGGAAAATCATATATATAAAAAAATGTATATTCTGTTCCAATTTCAATAAATGCGATGTTCTATTTGTTATTATTGTCTTGTATATACATCAATTAATTAATGTATATACAAGACAATAATAACATATACAGTTTATACAGTAACATGTAAGTTATTCTATATACAGTAATTTATAACATCCAATACAAAGGTGTATGATACACAGCCGCCCACTTTCAATCAACGCTGTAATTAGCTATAGACAATAGCGATGTACCCTATTGTCATAATCTAGATACATATCCAGATTCTGAATTATGTTATTAATGACAAATCCCGAAATTAGTTACGGAACAGATTTCTGCGTAATACTAGCTTTTGACCGCGACTTCGTACTCGAAATCCCGTTTTCTCCCGTTCCTGTAGGATTTTTAGTTTTTTTTCTGTCATAAGAACCTTCTGATATATATAAGCATAACAAACACTTTAAAAAAATCAACCAAATCGGTCGATCCGTTCTCAAGTTGTAGCGTGACAACGGGAAACGGGTTTCGTTTTTATATATACAGATTATGTCATGACGTCACAATCAAAACTTTTGTTTCTTGGAGATGTTGACAGAGTTGGTCAGGGTAGTCAGATTTAGGAGTTAGTAGCCCAAGAAGCCGTTACCTACAAAAAAGTAAAAAAAAAATTAAGGACAAAAATCTAACCAGTTACAATTCAATTGATATTATTGTGAAAATCTAAAAATATTTTTGCCTTACCCAAGTATCGAACTCAATCGTTGTACTTGAACAACGAAAAAGTTATAATGAAGAGAGAAATAATTAAAATACTGTGCCACGGTAAAGTTTCGAAACCAAAATTATTGGGAAGTGTCCAGAAAGTAGGTACTTCAAAATTTTCTGTTGTCCGTTGCCAAATACGGCTATAATCCAGAACTCAGATTTTTTGTTTTCTTTTAAATATACAATTCTTGTATGCAACACAAGAATTATATATCTATACTACCTTATAATCTCTTCTTTAAATTCTCAGTCGTAGCACGGTATTTAGAAATTGTGCCCGGTATATGGCAATAGGCTCACCCGTATTACATGGGACTCATAACATAAATAGCGAAGGGTGAGTGTTACATTTTACAGTGGGATAATGTGCACCTCTGCCTACCCCTTCGGGTATAAATGACGTGATGTTATGTTATGTTATGTTACTACCTTATATTCGACAGTGGCATCGTTGAGTACTTTAGTTACCTAGGTTTCAGGAATCACTTCCCTGGCCAAATCTCTAGTATTGTAGTGGTTTCGACTACAAAATTCAAGTAGGATACAGAAATTTGGAATTCTGCCCAATGTTTTCCTCCTGTGGTTTTAGATTTTGTTAGAAGTAAATGGTTTGTACCATTTGCTACTAATAAAGTCTTCTAAGAGTGGACATTTTGTAAGGATGCTTCTGCATTAACTACGTAATAGGTATCCTGCCTGGTTAGATAATCAATACTTTGACGACTGATTTAACTAATTAAAGGTCCACAAAAATATACTAGCACATGGAGTAAAAGACCAAAATAGACCGAAAGAACTAGAAAGAAATTGATTCGCCAATTCTTCCCATACCACCCGTAACATACACATACAGTATGTTTAAAAAGGCGCGACGCAATTTACTGTTATGTGTGAAATTAAGCCTTTGGGAATGAGTTGAAGCGTCAACGAACGAATTGTCTGGTCATGTCAATGTCGTTCAAAATTACTGGCTTGTAGACATTTTGGAGTGAGCCACTTTGGAACACGCTATATATAATGAGTACCTAGATTAATTTGATAGGTTGATTTTAATTGTACTTTGTATTGTTTTTGTGAAATAAATATTTTAATTTTATTTTATTTGTTGCTACAATTTAGATTTTTAAATCGTTTTTAAAATGTGTTGTTAAAATATGACTCTACTGCCAAAATTTGTCTGACCTCCAGCAAATACACACTTGAGATTTTTTTTTAAGGGGGAAAATCATCTTATTACTTGTTCTGCTTCGTGAGGCGGGAGGGAGTGTCAGACTCTTACTGACTAAAAACCACCCCGTTCCTACTCCTGTACTTCATGCCACGCACACGAAGAAACATAACGCAGAATCAGAATCAGAATCAGAATAACATTTATTTGCCTACTTTGTGTCTTACAAAATGTCTCTGTGGCCGGTGGGCCATACAGGGGTGAGTCAGCTAACTTATGTCCTAATGGATCTGTGTTTGCTTTGTTCTATTAATTCGTAATATGCGACGCTAAGTAGGCATATTACGTGTTTTATTTACGCTGTGTAGTATATTAAATATGTATATTATAGGAACATAATATTTCTTGCTATAATTATTTTATTTTAAGGGGACGCGGTGCTTTTGTTTTGTCTGTAGGCCAACGCTTGTAACCTTTTTTATAAGAGTCGAACAGTATTTCTCCGATTCTGTGATTAACCCTGAGAGGGTTAAAATCCCCATGAGCATGATAGGCATCTTCAGTGGATTCAAGGTCTTCTATTTCTAATTTTGAGATATTTTCCAACATTTTGGAGTTAAGGTCCTGGGCGCGTAGGTGCCAAGCTTCTATGTCAGCCATCTCCCAGATCAGTTCCGTAGGTGTTCGTCTTGGAAGTTGTGCGGCATTTTTCAGTGCCATTCTGTATTGACGTTCGATTTTGGTGAGGTTGGATTCGCTGTATCTTGAGAGTAGTTGTACAACTCCGTAGTCCATAAGTGGTAGAAGGCAAGCCTGATGATTGTCAGTTTTGTTTCCAGTTTTGTCTTCGCATTATATCTATAATTGACCGAGGGCTCCTCTGACTTGTTTTAATCTGGTAACAACTTTTCAGTGTGCTGATTCATCTTCATGTGTTTGTCAAAGATGACACCGAGATATTTGATCTGCTTTTGGTAGTGTAATATCTGTTGTTTCAGTTTCACCGTTGGTCTATATTTTTTCTTCTTTGAGAACATGATGCATTCTGTTTTTTCAATATTACACTTTAACCCCCATCTCGTATAATAGTCAACGATGGCCTCAGCTGCCCATTCGGCACGGATTGTCGCGTGTTCTGGGTTCGGGGCTCTGTTAAGTATACAGAGATCATCAGCATACTGTGAGAGCTTGAGGCCTTTGATGTGATCTTGTATATTCCAAACATCATGAACGTACAGATTAAAGATTATCGGGCCGAGTATTGAGCCTTGGGGCACGCCGTGGGGAACCGGTTTATCTTTGGTCGTCGTAGTTCTGAATCTACCTCTCAAGTTTCTACCTTCGAGATAGTTTTCAATTATTTTAATGATATTGTTAGGAACGTCTTGACTCTGAAGTTTTTTGATCAGGCCCTTGTGGTTTATAGAGTCGAAGGCTTTCGATAGGTCCGTGGATATCATAGAGACACTGTCTCCTGTGGCCAGTGCGTCGGTGATTATTTTGCCTGTCCGTAGAATTTGGGTTGCTGTACCTCTTGCTCTTGTGAAGCCGTGCTGGAACGTTGGTTGCAGCTGGATGACCGTTGCCGTAAGTCTGCTCTGGATCAGTCGCTCGCACAGCTTGCCCATGATATTTAGCAATGTGATTGGGCGGTAAGATGACGCCTGGCGGTGATCTTTCCCAGCCTTGTGGATGAATATGCACACACCAATTTTCCATCGTTTTGGGAAGTAGCCAGTTGATAGAACAAAGTTCACAAGAGGTACAAATGCCTCAACGAACACTTCTCCCCCAAGTTTAAGGGCGTCCGCTTTTATTCCATCTGGGCCTGGAGCCTTTCTGTTTTTAAATCTCCGCAGGGCGAGTTGCACTTCTTTTTCTGATGCTAGGTCTAGTGGCTGAAAAGGTGTTGTTTTTTCGGTCCCTTCATCGTCTTTAGCTATTTTAGCCTCTTTGACTATGGCAGTGTCGGTGAGTGTGTCTATTATATCTATTTCTGCACTACAACCCATGATGTTTGGTAGTTTGGCTATAGGTTTCTTCATGTTTCGTTGGATGCGCCACATTTGTGATCGATTGTCTCGAGGATCCTTGAGTTTGTCTTGCCACCCTTTTTCGATGTATTCTTTCAGATCGTTTTCAACTTCTCTCTTGACACGGTTGTAAAGAGTGCGTGTTTCGCGTTGGATTTCAGGACTGCAGTATCTCGCTTGCCATGCAGTTTGTTTCAATTTGTTTCTGATGTCAATCCTGTCGTTTATATATTTTGGAAGACGTTCCTGTCTTGTTGTATTTTTCAGGGGAGCATGAGTGTCAAGAGCAGTGACGATGGCATTTTCCATTGTTTCGACATACTTCTCGCAATCCTCCTCTGTTGTGATATCTCTGTTAAGGTGGCAGAAATTTTCCCACATTGTCTGCTGGTACGCTGCTGTGATCTTTTCGTCCACATAGATTTTCTTTGTATTACGGGATAGGTGTTCTTCTCTATTATGTTACTTTCACCGTTAACAACCAGGGGAGGTGATCTGAGCCAACGTTCTTTATGTGTTTGGCCTGAGCCTCTAACTGTTGGTGTGTTACTATTGCCAGATCCAGGATCGTGTTACCTGGGCTGAACGGTCTGGACGGTGCATTAGCATGTATAAGTGAGCAAAGCCCGCTTCTCACTGCCCTTTTTACAATGTTACCGAGGGTGGAATTCCTGCTATGACCCAGGGTTTTCATTTGTAAATTCATGTCACCGACGATAATAGACGGCTCATCGGCTAGTGTCTCTTCTAATTCTTCCTTGGCATGGTGTTGGTTTGGAATTTGTACATATATTCCTTTGATTTTGATATATTGTCCAGTAGCGTGGTTGGTGAAAAGTTTAATGCCGACGCCTTCTATCTTCTTGTTTTCGTCGTGCCAGCCTGGGGTAACTTCTGTTTCTGCCCACCTTAGTCCCCTTTGTACATACATGGCAGTGGCTAAGTGTTTTTCCAATGTATGGGTGAGTTTATCGTATCCTTTTATATTATATGGTTGCGTGTCAAAGTCGATCTTGCACTCATTCAATATAATTATAGCCGGTCTATATTTTTCGACAAGTGCTTTTATTTCTTTGAATTTATTTCGCAATCCTTGTGTATTCAGGTGCAAAATTTTGAGATTCTGTATTATTTTACTGTCGTGGTCAGACATTGATATTGATATGCGAGTGTATTTTATTTATAGTGTCCATTAACATTATCAATGTCTGTTGCATTTGTGTCTGCATTTTAAATAGACCCTCCATTGTAAGACTGCTAGTTGTAGGTGGTTCTTGTTCGGTTTGAGGTTGTGCTGATTCTTTTTGTTTCATAATTGGAAACTGCCGTGTATTTAAGACCTCTGCGTATTTTAAACATAACGCAAGCGTTGTTTCACGTCGATTTGCTGTGAAGTCGTGGTATAACTCCAGTCGAGCCGACCCATTCGAGCCGAAACATGGCTCTCCCAGACCTAATATTTTTTCAAACATTTCATTAATTTCGCTAAACTAATCTAAGTTCAGCTCAGACTCCAGGCTTTGTCAAGTAACTTCTAACTACTAATCAGATTTATCAGGGCTACACAGACGAAGTTTACCACTTAGAGGTCATAGTTCGTGATAGCGTTGTCTTTAATTCATGTTTCTGTTAAATTTCACTGCCTCCTTGGTCGAGTGGTTGGTAAGGGATCTTGGGTTTGATTACCGGGTCAGGCAAAGTAATACTGGGGTTTAAAAAAAATCCAGTTGTAGCACGGAGTCTGTAATTGTGCCCGGTATATGTCAATAGGCTCACCCTCTTACATGGGAATCCTAACATAAATAGTATATAGTGGGTGTTACATTGTACAATGGCATTAAGTGCCATAATGTGGACCTCTGCCAACTCCTTCGCGAATACAAGGCGTGATGTTATGTTATGTGTTAATTTTGATTAAGTGTAGTTAAATATTCGCTGTAATAAATATCATACACGGCGTCAATAAACTAAATTTCTCTCTTTCTTCATTCTTTTTAAAAGGTACAATTTTTTTTTTAAACGTTGCCCCACACTAGGATTTTCTCCTGTGTCGTGGGTGCGTTTACAAACATACAAGTTCACATACACAATGACAGCCAGACCCGAAACAACAATTTGTGGATCACACAAAGTGTTGTCCCGTGCGGGAATCGAACCCGCGACACGTTGCACGGCAGCCGGTTGCCCAGCCACCGCACCAACCGTGCAGTCAAATGTATGCCTATATTCAATTTCTCGTTATCAAGCAGTCAAATCACCTAAAGTTAAGCAAAAGTCTCTTCTCATAAGGAAAAAGAATGGACATAAACGGCAAGTCCTTACTATTCTCTCATTAACGTGACACCACGTTAGCATCTTTTTAAGAGTCATAATTGCATTTACACTCACTAATTTCTAATAAACGTCACTCAGAACTCAAAAAAATTATTGTAGATTGCATCTCTACCCGAATCGAACCCGCGACACATTAAAAATCATCGAAACCGACTTTTTTTTTTTAATGGGGTGGAAATCATTGAATGACTGCTCCCGCCTGGGTGAGGCGGGAGGGAGTGTCAGACTCTTACTGACTAAAAACCACCCCGTTCCTTCTCCTGCACGTCGAGCCGGAGCCCTGGTTACCCGTTAGGTTCTCCGCAACACCTCTGAGTTGGTTAGGTTATATATAACCCGACTACTGCGCTACTATATCATAGGACCACATAAATATTCCATGCAGCACAGAAGTCAATACCCTACAACTGCACTAAACCAGATATTATATCATTAAATTGATTAACCAACTTACCCCTCTTTCGCTCAAGTGCCCGACAAGGCAGTGGAGGTAGGCAGTACCGCCCAGCTGTGCTGTGATGTTGCTGACCGTATTGTTAGCTGTGACGTCAGCGGACGGCTGCACGCCTGCGCGCCAACCGCGAGCTCTTGATATGCCGTGATGCCCTGGTACCAAAGAATTGAGTTTAGTAAAGTTAAGGTGTAACACATGCTCTAAATTCTAAAATTATGAATGTTCTATTGAATATGCTCACATATGTTCAACACTTATCACTTAGTCTTAGTAGCATGCGTGTCGGAATGTCGTTCAAAATTAGCATACTAATTTCGGGCATGCTTGCGAATCGACAGGCGTTCTAATTTTGAATTATCTTGAGCATACTCAATAGATGGCTAGTTAGCATGCTATTTTAGAGAATGTGAGCATTGCCTTAATAAAGATGGGTGTTTGATAGAAGATTTTATTTTTAAATTTCTTACGATACCAGTGAAAGGAGTAGAAATGGTGTCAAAAGTATTCTACTACGTCGTCATCAATGAAAATTCATTAATATTCCTAATTAATCAAAGCTGTGGTGCAAGTGTGGGAGAGCCATGCTCCAGCACGAATGGACCGGCTTGACAGGAGTGATACCACTGCCTCACGAGAAACAACGCTTGCGTTGTGTTTCGTCGTGTGAGTGATGTTACTGGAGACCCAATAGCCCCCTTACCCAATCTCCCTAATCCCTGAATCCCCAACAATCATCAAATTCCTAATCCCCAAAAGGCCGGTAACGCACGCCTCTGGCGTTTACCGGCTTATCCCATAAAAAACCATGCTGTCATCAATGAAAATAAATTATTAGTATTCCCAATTAATAAAACCTATCTCTCGTTTATCAGCTGTTGAAATTCTCAGCATTATTTTACCATCAATATTATTAAAATTACCATAATTAGATTAATTTTGGTTCGAACACAATCGGAGAGCATTTTATTAACTTATTAGTTATGCAGTGATTAATTCAATGAGCAATTTCATACATGTAACAAATTGGAACAGACTGTAAAACTTTCTGGCTGTATGTAAATGTTGTATATACCTACCTACATCTGTTTTTTGTTTTTTTTTATTTTTATTTCACTCCTAATTTTTGTTTGCATTGTACTTGCCTGTGTTGTACCAAATAAATTATTTTTCTTTCTTTCTTTCTCCTTTCTTTCTATGTCTGTGATAACAATTGTAGTGTTTTAACAACTATTGGGTAGAACCGAAAGAGTTTTAGTCAGTTTAACATCACACTTCTACGTCCTCGAAGAAGGATTCAGAAGTGCACAGTTAAGGAACAAAGAGTATAGATCCCTTTTTTTTAAGGTGGGAAAGTCATCGAATGACTGCTCCCGCCTGTGTGAGGCGGCAGGGAGTGTCAGACTCTGACTGACTAAAAACCACCCCGTTTCTTCTCCTGCACGTCGAGCCGGAGCCCCGGTTACGTGTTAGGTTCTCCGCGACAGTATCCCTATGATCGGAAAAGGAGGATCCTCCGACCAGGCGAGGTGATCGTGTCTGGCGAGCTTTCTATCCAACAGTTTTTCATTGCGATTTTCTATCAGTGTTAATTCGCATGGAAACTTGTGGGATATAGGATTTTTTATGACGTCATCCGTTAATTTGCGTTCATCTATAGTCCATGTGCGCGAGCTATCATTTTGACGTGTGCCATGTGTCGCCACACACATTACAATGCTGGAAAATGACCTTATAGGTTTAAGATGTTCGTTGTACACAAATAACGTAGCTAAGTAGTTATTTTTTATTTGCACAAAAATGTACATTTCATAATCTAATTGACGAATTAAATGAATATTACCTATTCATACCGCGTCTACAGTGTTACTAATCCTGTGAGGTTATAAAACATGACTTAAATTCATTTCAAAAATATTGACAATGCGAACAAAGCCACGGGCAACACCTAGTATCATTATAAGCGGGTGGTCGCAGCGAATAATTGGCAAGTACCTACTTATCGCGTTCACACAGACGAGCTTAATTTGGATGACATTTATATTACCTTCGACCACGTCAAGCATTTCTTTTTAATTATAATTATCGCTAGTACTGCCACGCTGAATTTTTGCTCGAAAACCGACCTTTTTTTATTTATTTTTTATTTCAGTATTTAGTTGAGTGACTCCATGTGCAATTGTCGAGTAAGGAGGTTCAGGTACACGATTGTTTACGGGGTTTAGTAAAGTATAAGATATTTAAATTATTTAATTTTTTATTTATTATTATTAGTTTAAAGTTTAAGTTACACTGTCCTAAAATTAAACAAATGTCGTAACAAAAACATTCTTCAATAGGGATGATGACAGGGTATGAAAATTAAAAATATAATTAGTATGTCAGTTAGGTAATGAAAAAATACTTAACTGACTTTTTGTCGTATAAGAAAACAATACTTAATTAAAGTTTAGGAGTAGGAGGTAATTGTCATTTTAGAGTATAAATCGTACTCAAAAGTGACGTCATGCGATATGTCAAATCAATATATCTTCGAAACTATTCGTTTCCGCAAGAAAAAAAAAATACGTGTCTAATGTTTTTAAATAATTTACCAGACGGACATAAAGTAATATAATAATACCCTATTACAAATTGTGTCCAAAGAAAAATCTTTGCTTCACAGAATGATAATTCTTACATAATATATTTTTTGTTTGTTTTTCAATTTGGATCTTGTAAGTGACAGGCTTGTGTTTGACAGATACATTAAGACTAAATCAATGTAAGTGACACCTGATTTTTTCATATTTTCACTATCAAAATGTATTTGTATATTACATTACGTATATTTGGGAAAATTCCAAGTTTTTCCAAGGAAAAGCCACAACACTATAGTTGACTGTGTGACGCGAGTGTTCGATGCGCATCGAATTTGCTGATATATGTAGGTATAGGTCATGTGGCAGCTTGAAATAAGACGAGGATCCTGCTCGAACAGTTTCGTATAGAATATGTATCCCGATAGTAATTACATAAAAATACATAATAATAATTATGTAAGTGTGGGAGAGCCATGCTTCGGCATGAATGTGCCGGCTCGACCGGAGTGATACCACGGCCTCACAGAAAACCGACGTTAAGCAACGATTGCGTTGTGTTTCGTCGTGTGAGTACCGGAGGCCCAATTACCCTCCCCTTCCCCAATTTCCCCAATCTCTGAATCCCCAACGATCCTCAAACTCCTAATCCCCAAAAGGCCGGTGTCGCACTTGTAACGCCTCTGGTGTTCCAGGTGTCCATGGGCGACGCCAATTGCTTACCATCAGGTGATCCGTCTGCTCGTTTACCGGCTTATAAAAAAAACTAGCTTTTACCCGCGGCTTCGCTCGCGTCACAAAAGGATAAAAAGTAGCCTATATGACATATACCAATACACACAGCGCCATCTATACCAATAATTTCGTTTTCCCTCGAGAATATCAAATTTTTCCGGGATAAAAAGTACCCTATTATTTAATCCAGACTTCTAACTTCACGTCTGCAAAAATTCAAAGCAATCGGTTTTGTAGTTACAGCGCGAAAGTGGAACAAACAAACAAACAAACTCACTTTCTGATTTATAATATTAGTAAGGATAGAATAAAACATACATTATGTTTTATTCCTTTTGGAAATCTGTTAGAAATGAAATGAGTTCCACTACTCACGTATATCTCCCGTGGATGATGTGTAGAGAGGCAGCATGCAAAATATGGCCGCCGCTAGTTGTATGCCCATGCTGCCAGTCTGTCGCCATCTCATCTGGAACAATTAGAAGAATAACATTAATACAAGAACATGATATAATATTTAGTTTTCTTTTATTTAATTTTTATCCTTTTGTATCTTAAGTTGTATATATTTAGTAATAGTTAGCGCCGGTTTCACCTTCTCTATAATATAAGTACCTGATAAACTTATGTGACAGATAGTTCATACAAATTACGTTCTTAATTCAAATTTATCTGGTAGATAACGGCTATCCAGATATTGTGAAACAGGCCCTTAGTATTTATTTTATATTATTTGTAAATAAAAAATTAATGAGTCATTGTCAAGAAACAAAAGATTACTTTTGTATAGAGGTATATTATGTTGCATCTGATTATAGTACTTGTAATCACGTAGATATTGCGTCATACTATTTTACATGATTGAGGAAAGATAGAGAGCAGACGCAGATGTAAAGTAATCAGTAAGTACTGATTATGGACACCCACAACTTCCAAGGATTTACGAGTGCGTTGCCTGACTTTTAAAGTCGAAGTCAAAGCATTTATGTGAGCCTTTGGCAGGTGCCCTAAAATTTGAAGTTGTTGCAGTAGTTTATTCGGTGGTTTTATATTTCACTAAAATAGTTTATAAGTCTCTTTTTTACTAACCCAATATGGACCAACTAGTCTGAAATGAATGATTTATTATTATTATATTATTATTTCAATTATTCCTTAAGTAGGCACTTTTGAAACGTCAAAATTGAATAATCTATCCGTCATATGTTAGTGAAGCTAGGCGCTCGTTCTAAAGTGTAATTTCGAATGTAGAAGAACAAGCAAGAAACTCCATTCAATACTCTTCTAAAAAATGTTTTTACAATCTCTTGTGAGGAAGGGAGGATGGGAGCTCCGATTACCCAGAGACAAAACACAATACAATAGTTTTTTAATGCTGATCGAGTTATACACTCAAACCATCTGGTTAATACCTGCACCACTGCCCACTCGTTTGAACATTGTACGTCACACAATAGATTCAAATCCTGTGTCCCTATACTGAAAAGATCCGTAATATTTGCCCAGTCATGAAGAAAAATAGAAACATAATATAATATACCATTTATCATTTACAAAGATCAATTTTATCGAAGGAAAACGACTCAAGGGTCTGTAGTATGGTGCCAATCTATATTTATAGTTTCTATTCAATCTTTTGATATAAGATATCTATACATAATGTAGTTGGATGATATTTATGTACACTTTAGTTCAAGACGCGACTTTGTTGGAGACAATCAATTCCTTTGATGCTCTTTAGTCGAAGAGCTAGGGTGCGGTGTGCGGTAAGTAATGTGTCATAGTATTTTAATTTTTTAACAGCTTGTTTTCGTGTTCACAATATTATAAATTTACTTACTTATTTTACTTATTTACAATATTATATACATATTATACGTTTGGATAAGATACAAAGTATTATTTTTAGTTTCACGGTACCGACTTGGTTGATGCTAAAAATATATTTATTTACTTAATCTATTTCATCCGGCAACTTACTAAGATATTCCAAGAATAGAAATTCCTAAAATAGAACCAAGAATTTCTCATTCACCTTCTTTGTTGTTAATTAAAATACAATTTGGGCATTAATAAAGGTCTCTTGGCCCAGAATTATGTTTGAATAAAACATGGCTGACCACCGCTGTATCTGCTTGCTGTATCTACCAGATAAAACTAGATTTGGTGATTATGTCTCTTAGGTATACAGGTTAATAACAATTATGCACTATTGGCAGCTATACTAGTTTCGACTGATAACGGGACCCGACTTCTTCATGTATGTAAAGTATTGTTATTTTAATTTATGAATTAATTAATGCTTTACGTTATTTCACTTTTGGACTCACATTTGGACCAAACACCGACAAAAGGAAAAGAGAACTATCCAGTTCACCACAATCATCGTCAACTAACAATCCTAAGAAACAACAAACGATGAGTTCTATCAAAACTAACAGAACAAACGCCTTCGATTTGATGAGAACCCGATCAAACTCGCTCACTGGCGGCTCTAATCATAATAAACTATAGCAATCGACAACCGGCAAACGGACAATCCAACCAAATCACGAAAACCAAACAATAGAAACAACACAATCTCCCCCAAGCCGACTGGTCCTCGTGGGGGATAGCGACCGTAACCCTCCAACAACACAGAAAAAATACCATGAAAACATCCAAAGAAAATCAAAGATATATATTGCAGCCCTCAATGTGCTTACATTGAAAAATGATGAAAACCTTGCAGAATTATCATATGCGTTAAAGCAGATTAAATGGGACATTGTTGGCCTGAGTGAAGTAAGGCGAATGGGGGAAAGAATTATTTCCCATCCAGACTTCCTCCTTTACCATATCGGAACAACCCCAGGTCAATACGGAGTTGGTTTCATTATCAAAAAGCATCTTACAAATTATGTGGAGAGCTTCATAGGAGTATCAGAGCGCATAGCAGTGATGAATCTAAAGCTACCGGGGTTCAAAGATCCATGGTCTATCATACAAGTTTACTCGTTTACGGAACAATCTGAAATAAGATCAGTAGACTCTTTCTACCAAGATGTAAATAAAGCAATCCGAGATCATGCTTACAAAAACCTTATTGTACTGGGAGACTTCAATGGTCAAATTGGAGAACGACAGCCAGAAGAAGACTCAGTCTTGGGACCATTTATTTATAGAAAAAAGACGAGAAGCAGAAACGGAGAGAAGCTTGTAAACTTTGCACAGGAAAATGGCTTGAAAATCTTAAACACAATGTTCAAGAAGAAAGAAAGTAAAATGTGGACTTGGTTATCACCGGACGGGACAATAAAAAACGAAATAGACTTCATAATGACTAACAAAAGCAGATACTTCTCAAACATGAAAGTCATAAATAATTTCAATTTTAATACCAACCATCGAATGATTCGTGCAGAATTGTTGGCATTCCCACCGAAAAATCCAAGACCAAGAAACAAAGTGATGAACACAAAGCCGACCAAATACCAAACAACCGAAATAGTCAATCTAATAAAGCCAAAACTCATGGAACACAATAAAGTACTAACTAACATGCAGGTGCAAGAAAAATACAACTGGTTAGAAGGAATAATCAAAACACCTATTGAACAAGGGACTTTTAACAAGGATGTATCTAACAAGTGGATATCTGCTAAAACCGTTAACCTTCTTAATCAAAGAGCTGACCTAATCAATGGCAAAAATATCAAAGACAGGCGAAAACAAATAGCAAAACTCAGCAAAGAAATAAAAGAAAGTTTTAGAAAAGATAGAACTCACAGAAGAATGGAAACAATAGAAAAACACATTCTACAAACGGGAGGAATAAAAAAGGCATATAAGGAGTTAAATGAAAGAAAAAAAGATTGGATTATACGGATGACAGATGGTAAAGGATCGAAGGAGAGCCGAAGGCAAGGAATACTACAAATCGCTACAACTTGCTACAAAAAACTATACGAAAATACTATAATGGGAAAAGAAATAGAATTGTTAGAAACTTCCCCAGTACCGAGTATCATGCAGGAGGAAATAGAATTCGCTCTGGAAACCCAAAGAGATGATAAAGCCCCAGGACCAGACGGAATAAGCAACGAAGTATTAAAACAAGCGAAACAGAGTATAACACCTATTCTCAGAGAAATTTTCAATGATATCATAAATTCAGAAACGATTCCACAGCAATGGACTAAATCAAATATAATCCTTTTGTACAAAAAAGGAGATCAATACGATATCGGAAACTACCGACCCATAAGTCTGATGTCCAACCTGTACAAAATATTTGCAAAGATCCTACTCAAGCGAATAGAGAAAAAACTCGAAGAACAACAGCCAATAGAACAGGCGGGATTTAGGAAAGATTATTCAGTGCTTGATCATATCCATGCTGTTAGGCAAATCATCGAGAAATACGGAGAATATCAACTCACATACTATCTGGCATTTGTCGATTATAGCAAGGCATTCGACTCGTTAATACATATACATATCTGGGAGGCCTTAAGAGAACAAGGAATCGAGCAAAAATATATAAGATTAATAAGAAATGTATATAAAAATAGCTCGGCATGCATTCTGTTAGAAAAGAAAGGAGAACCATTTAAGATACAAAAAGGAGTAAGGCAAGGAGACCCTCTCTCTCCAAAACTTTTCTCCGCTGTTCTAGAGATGGTCTTCAGAAAGTTCAAATGGGAAAACATGGGATTAAATATCGACGGCCGCACATTATCACACTTAAGATTTGCCGATGATATTGTGTTATTTGCAAAATCGTCAGAAGACCTAAACATAATGTTAAACGAACTAGCATTTGAGAGCGAGAAAGTGGGACTAAAATTAAATCCCGAGAAAACAAAAGTAATGACTAATGGAAATAAAAGCAGCATTAAAGTGGGCGACACACAGATTAACTATGTTGAAGAATATGTATACCTCGGACAGGTGATATCACCCAAGGATAACATAAATAAAGAAATCGAAAGAAGGATAGCAAACAGTTGGAAAAGATATTGGAGCCTAAAGGAAGTAATGAAAGACAAAAACCTCCATATCGCAACAAAGAGTAAACTGTATAACATCTGCATTCTACCAATTTTAATATATGGTAGCCAAACATGGGCTTTAACAAAAAACAGTACCGATAGAATTACAGTCTGTCAACGAGCGATGGAGAGGAGCATGCTGGGAGCAAAGAGGAGTGATAGAATAAGAAACAACAACATTCGTAAAAAGACCAAGATACAGGATGTAACCTTAAAAATAAAAAGGCTAAAATGGAAGTGGTCGGGACACATGATCAGAGGAAAGGAAAAATGGAACAAAATATTAACGCAATGGTACCCAAGAGAAGGTAATAGGAAAAGAGGAAGACAACAAAAAAGATGGGACGATGATATTAGGCAGGTCGCTGGAAAAACATGGAGTAGAGTAGCCAGAGAGAGATCAGAATGGAGTAGGTTGGAGGAGGCCTTTGCCAACTGGCAAACGGATT